TAGATGCAGAGAACAACGCAGAGATACAGAAGATAATTGGACCCAGGTGGTTGTAATTAGGCTCCTCTCAAGAGAGTATATAAGGAGAGACTTTGGGAGGAACCTGCAGGATTCAACTTCATTACCAACGCTGGAGAAGCCTTGTGTATATTTCTTATCTTGGAAGTCTGGATTGCTGCCAAGGTCTTGTCAGTGTGTTAATTTACTGTGAATAAATAATCTAGCAGTATTCTTGTCTTGGAGTGCCTTGGTGTACGGAGAGAGGGGTCAGAACAGAGATGGATAGATGATAGATAGATGGATAGATGATAGATAGATGTAGATGATAGATGGATAGATGATAGATAGAAGGATAGATGATTGATAGATGGATAGATGATAGATAGATGTAGATGATAGATGATAGATGGATAGATGATAGATAGATGGATAGATAATAGATGTAGATGATAGAGATGGATAGATAATAGATGTAGATGATAGATGTAGATGACAGATGATAAATATAGATAAATGATAGATAGATGATAGATATAGATATATAGATAGACAGTTGATAGACAAATGCAGATGATAGATTGATAGATAGATGATAGATAGATACTTGATAGATGATAGCTGGGTGGATGGATGGATTGATGGATAGATAAGATAGATAAAAAAGAAACGGACATACTGGTTTTCTTCCTTTAATATTAAACATAAATCTCCTTTCTCGTTTCCGTTAGCTTATTTCCCCTCCTGTCAACACCCGAGTCCTGGCCTTCCTGTCCTCGGTTGCCGGCGATGCTCTCACCCGGCACCTGGGTGTCATTCTGCCCGCCATGATGTCCGCCCTCAAGGAGAAGCTTGGCACAAGCGATGAACAGCAGGCAAGTTGGTTTCGGCATGAGATTGATTTCAGGCTCCTCATACAAGAGCCAGAAGTATAAGTGGTCCTCGGCTTACGACCTCAATGGAGCCCAACATTTCTATTGCTAAGTGAAACATTTGTTCAGCAAGCTTGGCTTCATTTTACGACCTTCCTTGCCACGGTTGTTAAAGTGAACCGCCGCACCTCTTAATTCAGTAACACGCTTGTGAAGTCCATCAGGCTTCCCCGTTGCTTGCCCGAAGGTCGCAAAAGGGGACGCTGCCATCATCATAAATATTGATCAGTTTCCAAGCGTCTGAATTTTGATCACGTGGCCACTGAGAGGCTGCCACGGCCATAAGTGTGAAAAAACGGTCCCTTTTGGCAGCACCGTTGTAACTCTGAACGTTCACAAAATGAACTGTTGTAAGTTGAGGACTACCGTATTTTTTGGAGTATAAGACGCACCTTCCCCCCCCCCAAAAAAATAGGGTGAAAATTTGGGTGTGTCGTATATACCGAATGTAGCCCCACCCACCCCCACCAGAGGCCAAAAACGCCACGCGTGGAGGCAGCAATGGTCTGTGGCAATCCCTGCAGCCTGGAACAGCTGATTGGCGGGTATTCCAGCAGCCCGATCCCCCTGCCAATCAGCTGTTCATGCTGAACTAGCCTGCAATAACTGCTCTGAAGCTGACCTGGCTGGTCAGAGTTTGCAGCAGTGATCACATTCAGAAAGCACAGTAACTGATTCCGCAGGGTTCAAAATCATAATAATATACCAATGATAGCGAACCTTTTCAGCACTGAGTGTGGAAACCGGGACGTGCGTGCATGCCCATGCATGTGTGCATGCCAGAGTACCAGAAACCTAAACGGCTGGCCGGTGCTCATGTGTGCGCCGGTCACCTGGTCTTTGGGATTCCTGTGCTGGCATGCACGCCGGCCAGCTGGTCGGACACCCAAAGACCAGCTGGCTGTTTTTTGGCTGTTTTTGGCCATTTTGCAGGCCGTTTTTGGGGCGGTTTTCAGGCTGGTTTTCAGCCCTCTGGCACCCACGAAGACCAGCCAGCCGGTGCGCATATCCATGCTGGGAAGCAGAAGAGCAGCTGGTGATGATGCCCACAGAGAGGGCTCTACATGCAAAATACAATACATTACATAATATACAATACATTACCAAAAGCAGGTTTTCCAAGGTAGCACTCAATACAAGCAAAACACAAGTTTCAGTTCTCGGCTAAGCCAGGCTCCTTCCTGTCTCCTTGTTGCTCACACAGCAAAGACTGTTTCAGAGTCCAAATAGCCCTCCTTGGCTGACTTAGTTGCTGTGCCTATTCATTGGCTGACCTTGTTACCATGTGTCAGCTGTGTAACATGGATACTGGTAGGCAGAGGCAGAATTTGTTTTCTTCTCATTTTCCTCCCCCCAAAAAAACTAAGGCTGTGTCTTATACTCCGGAGCGTCTTATACTCCGAAAAATACGATCAACGATAAAAAAGTGGGGGAAAGTCTCGGAAAAGTTTCTGACACAACCCCCCAAATGGTTGGATCGTCTCTCTATCGCAGGAGATGCTGAACTGCCAGGCTGTCATTCTGTCGGTAGAGGCCGAGGCCGGGCAGCGGATCATCATTGAGGATCTCTTGGAGGCAACTCGCAGCGCCGAAGTCGGACGGCGCCAAGCCGCGGCTGTCATCCTCAACATCTACTGCTCCAAGACCAAGGCTGACTACACAGCCCATCTGCGCAACCTGGTCTCGGGCCTGATCCGCCTCTTTAACGACACCAATGCCGTGGTGCTGAACGAAAGCTGGGACGCCCTCAACGCCATCAGCAAGGTAAGCCTCGGAAGCCGTCTTGAGAGGAGGATGGAGGAGCCAAGCTTTGGGGCGATGGGCCACCTTGAGACAGAGAGAGGAGAATCTGGTTCCACCACAAAACCGCGGTCGACTAAAGCGCGCTCGACGAAACCGCGTACCTGACGTCATCACAGCGCGACGAAAAAAGAACGCTGTGAACGGTAAAGCTAAAATTAACGCGTAAACCGAAACCTAACCCCCCGAAACCTAACCCTAAACCTAACCCTTAACCTAACCCTAAACCTAACGCTAAACCTAACGCTAAACCTAACGCTAAA